AGAATGCTAGTGTGCAACGATGTAATTAAGATTGCATTGTCTTCGACGTAATTTATTATTCCGAAAGTTTCAGAGTAATCCTAGAAGCGAAATTTGTGTTGTCGCTTCACGTTACAGTGTTTCAATATCTTCGCCAGAATTCTCCTCGAAGAAGTATTATATATAACGTTAATGTTTTTAATATAAATTAATAGTTAAATAACTTATGCAGTACGTTATCAATTTTATAATAATAATAAAAAATGATATATTGGCTGTGATAATTGCTCTCCTGTTTCGATACTTTTAAGTCGCAGCAATTGTTACGTGATATGGAAGATATTCGATTCGCTCCCCTTGTTTCCACCTATCAATTCTTTCCGAATGTAGTGCAATTTTATAATGGGCCCCACCCAACGATATATCGTTGATATAACGTTGATTTATTGGCGAGTATCATGCCTAGGGATGATGAAACGTTATTAATATCTTCTTCTACTTAAACTGAATCAATGAAAATTTTATCAATGATTAAAACAGAGTAATATAAGACTTCACTGAGTGAAGTCTTATTCATTAACAAGTGTTTCATTTATTTTAATATAGATATTCATACTTTGGTCTTTTTATCTTACTGATTATCTAAGAAAAGTGAAATTAACAGTTATACACATCCGTGTCATATTTACAAGATTTTTTGTATTTTGGATTTGCTATTTTTTTGAAAAAATTTTCACGTTTGAAACCTGCATAATTAGTATTCAAATTGAGAATCATGTAGGGGAAACTGGAGCTGATTGTCTCATACGAGGTTAATTGTCAAAATGCTTATAATTACAACTTAAACAGGAAACATGGCAGAAAAATTTTTTTTTTGACTGTAGATTGCTGATATAACATTAATTTGTTGTGTAAAACGATTTGCACCAAGCATTGTATATATTATTTATAACGATTTTTAAGAAAATGAATGATTGGTGAGTAAGTTTTTCATACCACCTATTTTATTGTTTGACAAGTTTTTGGCATTATTAATCGCAATATCCCTGTATTCATAGAAAACGACATATCTTAGAAGATCTTTGATATAATTAATCATTATCCTGACAAAGTTCGTGAATACAATTTCTTTTATTAAAAATTGCTATGGAGGGTAGACTAAAATGAGACAAGATTAGGTGACAATTAATTTAAATATCTTTAGAGAATACGTTTTTAGAGTACATTTAGAGAAAACATACACTTATAAATATATTATATTTCACATAAATATATATGTTTTTTCATTTTTCATGAAACTACGGAATAGTTTGTATATGAGTATTGTATACGGAATAGTATTTTACAATATAGGTACTTTCACCAGTTATTTTATAGAATTAAAACATTTATAGATTTGTGTAGATTGCAAAATACCTGGCTGTTATTTATATCTATTCTTTGCATCTTCTGCTAATATCACCTTCGCTGATGAAACATAAGAGAAATAAACAAGCTTGATTTCATAACAAAAATATAGAATCTAAGCAATAACTGTCCTAATTACAACATTATAGTGACCGTTTCGGACGGCAATGATTCCTTTCTTTGTTGCGAACTTTCTTGCTGCTGTTGCCGTTTCTGTTGCTGTCGAGCGTTTCGTTTCGCGTGCGTTTTCAAATGCGAGTTCAGCAATATTTTTGTAAAAAACGATTTGTGACAGTTTGTGCAAGGAAAAGGTCGATAATCTGTGTGCCTTCGTAGATGTACTATCAATGAGTACCGTTGAGTAAATCTTTTTTTACAAAAATTGCATTGATGCGATTTGTCGCCCCTATGTGTTTTATAATGTAGGTTTAAGTACTTCCGCGAGACAAAGCTTTTCTCACAAATGTCGCAAACATAAGGCTTCTCGCCGGTGTGCGTGCGATGGTGCACATTGAGAAAAAACTTGCTAGATACGGACTTGCCGCATATCGTGCACACGTACTTGTTTTCCACGTCGTGGATCTTCATGTGCACCAGTAACACTTGTCTCTGAGAGAAACGCTTGTTGCACAACTTACAGAGGTGTTCCGTTTCTGGCTGTACATAGTCCGGTTGATGTAGCTTCGAGTGTAATCGTAGACCTTCGGGATGGCGAAATGTGACATTACACACGCCGCACTGAGTCAATTTTTTATTCGTATGTAACAACAGATGTACCTGGCAGTTGCTCTTGCTCTGAAATTGTTCGCCGCATTCCTCGCACTGATACTTATAATTGATACATATAATTGAAGACACATTGTGACTCTTCTGATGGATGATTAAGTCCTTTTTGTGGGAGGTCACGTAGTCGCAGTTGTCGCAGCTAAAACAGTCCTCGGCAATGTGTTCCTTCTGATGCTCACGCAGCTCCGACATCGTCATAAAGCTACAGTCACAATTCTCGCAGACCAATTGCTCGTCCTGTTGCGGCTGCACTTGAGCTTTTGAATAGGGCTCGTGCATCTTTAAATGCAAATTAAAAGCATGTTCACGGATGAAATTGTTGCCACAGAATTCGTATTACAGAGCATTCTTGTGAGCGAGCGTCGTCTTCTTTTTCGATTATACGGAGTCTGCTAATAACTGCACGTGCTTCCACTTGATGAAGATCTTTCTGATTATGCCTGATTATGATCCGCACTGTTGCCGATCCCAGCACCGTGAGTTTTGACAGAAAATATCTGGAAAGAAGAGAGATACAAACGGAAGTCAATCAGTGCTCGTTTCTCGCTGCCTCTTTCGTTCTTTATCGTTGTCTTAACCCGGTCCTACGTGGCAAGCGAGATATGATACACAGATGATCAGCTGAACTCGATTGTATGGAGGTCAATAAAGCGCTTCACTTGTGATTTCCAGTATTCTCTTTATTACGTCTGCCTTTGCGTCGTTTTCTGTACTGTTCGTTATATTTGCAATCTTGCTTACATAACCTTATAGCATACAAAATTTGCAACTACAAAATATCTTTTATAGTCTATGCTTTCTTAATACTAATGTTGTGTTTATATTGTGTTCGTTAATAAAATGCGGTCGTTTTAACAATACTAATTATATTATATTGTCTGCTGCGAATATTAGCAAATAATGTATATCTCCAGTAAATCAATAAGTAAAAGAAAAGTTTAAAATAATTAAGAATACTAATTATATTAACAATCATACAATTATATAACAATCATACTATATTTTTTTTCTAAATGCATAATCTCACTATTTTTTGCTTAGAAGAAGTTTTTAATGTATTAGTTTGATATATATATATATATATATATATGGGCAATATAAGCTAGAATTCATTTCGAAGAATTGCGAGGGTGCACCGTTAGACAAGATACAATCATCGTTTATTTAGATTGATCGCGAAAGAAAAATTGTACACATCAAAAATTCGAAGATAATTCGTTCACGAAATTATCTGATGCTTCGGATATTAGCAAATAATTACAAAATAATCTTCAATAAATCAATCAGTAAAAGAGAAATTTGAAATAATTAGAAATATAAACAATTAATATGAGTATATAATTAATATGAGTATATAAATATAATATAATTAAAGTATGAATGAGATTTTTAATTAAACGAATTAAAAATAAGTGAATTTTTAATTCATAAATGAAAATTTCTGAAATATATCGGACATAATTGAAATAGAAAAATAAAACAATTTGAAATTTATTTTGTTTAAGAAAAAACAGAAAACCGAAGATAACGCTAAAAAAACTTATCCTTTTAGAAATAGTTAAATTGGAGAAATTATGTTCTATAAAAATTTATATTAAATTTATATTAAAAATTTCTGTTATAAAATACATATACATTTAGACGACTCTCTTAATAAATAAGAATCAGGAGGTATAATCACAAAGAAAATAAGAATTAAAATTAAAAAAAGCTCCAAAGATTAAATTAATAAAGGAATGTAAAGCTAATAAGAATTGACACCAGTTATACGTGTGTAATTAAAGCTAATAAAAATTGACACCAGTTATACGTGTGTAATTAAAATAATATATATCAATCATCAATTACAGATGTTTCGATAATATCAGGTCCTCTTCAGAAAATAAGAGAAGAAAACGATTAGAGAAGAAAATAATTAGATATTCTACTGTGTAAATTTGCTAAAAATCAGATATCCTAATTGACACCATTTTACAATAAAGCGACAATTAATTTAAGTATTTATTCCTGGCAATTAAACTTACCGTTTATCACCGATGCAAACCTCTACGCTGCTACGTACGTTCTATCCACAGTTAATGGCGTGGCGTGGCCCGTCATCTGAATCATCTCGACTATCTAGACCGTATTGATCGCGGCCTAAGCAGCTGGAGTCGGTCTGACAGTAACGTTGGGGCGGCCGCACGGAAAACACACGTGTTACAAGAGCAGCGCAGCACGATGGAGTCGAATTTGATGTCCCTCATGAGGGGCGGACGAAGTCGTTGAAATTTGAAAGCGTGTAGTCACACCGGTCGTGCGGATCTCACGGATGACTTCCGATTTTCGTTTCCCCGAGACGGAAGTGTCGTTTCCCGACGCAGCGCTTCCGTCGCTCGCGAAACGTGTTGCGGAGATTCCCGCCGTCAGAAGATTCGATGAATCCCGCTCGAATTGTTTTTACTGTGGAACGTGTGTGGAAATAAAAATCTTGCTTGACTAAACCAGTCACGCTCGTTTTATTCCTTTTACGCTTTTCCCGACCGTGTGCAAAGTGAAAGATTTTCCAAAGGTTTGGTTGATTCCGTTGTGTCACTTGGAAAGGGCTTTGTCGTAGCACATTTTGTTGTTTCTGGTAATTGTTGGATACACCGATGTGTCAATTACATTGAGTTTACTCTGCTCGTTTAATGTGAAGCTAGTCTTCGTATCTACGTTTACCGTGATATCACGTTGCACAATTTGCAAGATATTGTTAAATTTTTGTGTAAATCCTGTGATCGTTGTTCGAGAAATTATTGGTAAGCGGAGTGTTATTGCAGCATGAATAATTTTATCGATACCCACACTTGTCACCACTCACAAATAGTATTTCCTGATACGTATTTACATTCGGAACCAATTAAGTAAAAATATTACAGCACAACAAATAAAAAAAAAAAATATACAACACACGTGTGCATGAGTTCAGTGCATAAAATTGTAATAAATTTCGATAAAATTTTACCTTAATCGCAAATATAGAAGGAAACTCCGTGCTGCAAATAATCCCATTTTCGTGCTTTGTGCCGAGAATATTTACCCTAATAGAAATTTTCATCGATGCTATATCCCTTGCCATAAGGAAAAAAAGAGTCACTTCCGCGTTAGTACTCTATCGATCACAGGCGCTTTTTCTGAAAAGCGTTGGAGATACGAGACACAAAGAGATAGTCGTGTAAGTGCGAGGGTAAAGAGCCTATCGATCGATTATCGTTCATCTCGTCGAGTGGTTATCGCATCTTCTAGTGGGGAAAGCACTGACGCGGGAGAAAGGGAGGAACAGAAATTCCATGTTTCCTTTTCTCGGCCTCTCTACGATACGCGCGAGGAAGTTACGATATGCGCGCGTTTATGTAACTTCAACTATATTCTCACAACTATCACGCGTTTCGTGAAACGCGCTTTGGATCGTTACGCACGATTTGCTTTTAAACATTTCTTCACCGCTGTTATCATTACATCGGAGGGTAAAAGTCATATACCATACTTGCAACACATCATTCGTTATTACATGGAAAGAATAATTTTGCTGAAGTATTTAAAAATTTGGCTTGATATAAATTTTATATAAACATAAATAATATAAATAATATAAATATAAATATAAATATAAATTTTGTTAGATTATCAAAATAATTACAGTTGAGGACATTCAAGTTCAAAATGTCGACATTTTTTACAATATTGATCATTATGTTTGAGCACACAATTATTTTTGATAGTCCAACAAAATTTTCAAATTTGTACATTTGAGAGAAAAATGTATTAAAATTAAATAATTATTTGAATAGTACTAACTTAACATTTACTTACAGCAAAATACATTAAATAAAGTAAATAAAAATGAGAGTTAAATCGCATAAATTAATGGTTCTTGTACTAAATAAATATGTATTTATATTTAATAAAACGAGTATTATTTATTAAACAAGTATTTATTAAAATTTAGTACATTCTTTTTTCAGTATATTTAAATTTTTAGATATTTCAGCAAAGTCGTTCTTTTCGTATACAGTAAATAATCGTTGCGCTTCTTCGCGTTTCTTGCAAATCACAATTTAATTCGTTTAATTTAGAATTGATTACTATCTTCAAATCCAAACTGATCAAAGAATTCGCGAATAAGTTGAGAAGAAACGCGACAGCGACAACGTACGTTTACATGTAAATGTATATTTATAGATGTCAGAGAAATGCGGCATATATACATTTACATAAGATCATACATGTGAATGTCAATTTTTATTTTACTTTTAAAATACGACTGTTTAACATATGAACCGTTAATGGCCAATTTGACTTGAAGAACGTCACTGAGTAACGTCTGCTTATTAAGTCCACGTGACACAGCTTGGCATTCGAATTCTCACCATTCGCGATAGCGTTTCAGTTTCGACAATATCGGCGGTAGGAAATAACGTTTCGCTTTGTGTTACGAATAATTTCTTGTTTTTTCTTGTCTGTATTAACTTTACGAAAGAAGTGTGCTAATTCAATAACTCTTCCTGTGTTAATTGCGAGACACTAATTGATACTCAAATTAATGACAATGAGTGATGTTTGTGATGAAATTGTTCTTCATTGTGTAACGTTTGTAAAAAGTCTACTATAAATAATTTTCTGTAAATTGCATCCATTTTCTTCAAATAAGATATAAATATATTTATATATAGATTAATTTTATAATTTTTTTTAATCTTGAAGTGTTTCCTGAATAAGAATGTAAAAAAATTGTACATTCACACACAAATATAATTCATAGTTTCTATATCCTATTAAAATTATAGATAATGCAAAAAGATAATAAAGTAAAATTATCCAATAATTAATTTTATGGAGACAGGACGTTTCACTTTTGTTTGAAAGTGATTATTAACGTCGTAGAACTTCCGTGACCAAACTCATCACAATTAACGTGTGCCTCATGCGTTTAGATGCGAAAGACATTCTTCTCATCGTCTCGTTTCTCTTGTCCTTGTATCACATGACTCCAACTTTCTTATAAATCTTATTTTGACTTTCTGTTTACTGACAGATATGCGAGTGCAGTTAGTTACTTTAGTCCCGAGCGAACAAGCTGACTTGTCAAAAAAAAAACTTGAAAAAAAGATTAGAAAATTGCTCTTTTTCTAAGTGAACTTTGGATATTATCGATGAAGAGAATTGTTACGAGTGCGGCGAAAGATATGTTGGTGGAGAGTGCGTTGGCTCTGTTTGCGCTTAATCAGTTCAATTGAATAACGTATTAATACTCCGGGGTCATCGCGAGAGTTAATCGCAATGTCCACGCCGGACACGATGGATACCATCGACGAAGCGGAACAAGCGTGGCGTGAGTACAAAAATAATTCGTCGACATTTTTTTAGATACCACCTCGTCGAGTTGTGAAAAATCGTACACGACCTTGTGACACATTCTCAGACAAATATTTTTAATAGGAATTCAGTCTGTTAATATAATATGTGTATTTATAAATTTCACACGTTTCTCTTGGCTTTCAAAATGCTTTAAAAAATATATGTAAAAATAAGTTTTTTGGAACATCGTTAATGCGGAGGCAGTAAAAAATATTTAAAAATTATTTTAATAAAATTTAGCTACAATGTAATATTTTAAATTCTCTAACCAAATTTTTCTCTTTGTGGAAGCAATTCAGCTCTGTAAACCGTTTCGACAGACTGATTTGCATTTATTGTAATACAATGATAATGTCATTTTATTAGATAATATAACAATGCAAAATGATGATTTATCGAAATTCAAATGCTGATTTTCGTTCAATATATTCTATGAATTGTAAATTGCATGGCCGGCGAGACGATAAATAGTGTGACGATAAATCGTCGACGTTTCTTTTTATTGTTCGTACTCTTCGCGGATATGCAATACCAAAGATTCGGCCGATAGGCATGTAAAATTAAATGCTTGGCACACGCATGCACAATTCATGAGTCGATATTACGCGGTTCGCTCGACACTGAGGAAAGAGTTCAATTTTTATCTTGACAGCGCATAGAAAACCGTGACCTAATTCGAGCTATTTCTGTATGAAGAAGTTCGTAAATGGATATTTTTTTGACATGTTGGATAATCAAATACATCGCGTTTTAGCTTCCAGCTGAACTGTGTCAAAAGTATCAAAACGTCATAATATTTAGATCTAGCTTACATATATGACATTGTAAAGTAGAGATGATATCACGCTAGCCGTAGGGTTTGATTACTTTGTCTATCGTGCAATTGATAAGAATGATATTAAAGTGAATTTAATGACGTCATATTCACTACTCAATAAATAGTAATGCTATATATGAGGGAAAGATATGTGTCATACTTACAACAATATCATATCTTAATTTTTAATATTTCTGTTATTGATATTACAGAATGATAAATGTATATATAGAACATATAAACATAAATATATCTATAGTAAAAATTCTAAATTAATATCTAAAATAAAAATTATATATTATGTTGCAGTGATTTTTTAATGTATTATTAATGTTATAAGTCGATTTTATTTGCAAGATTACTAAGTCCCATTTAATTTCCTGTTATTCTATAAAACTATTTGTTTTATTATTAATAAAAATTTGTACTTGTATAAGTGTATATGTAAATATATTCAACATAAATATTATTCCTATTAAATCTTTGTTCTGTGTAACACAGAATCCTATCTTTAATTTTATCAATAAAAATAAATTCTGAGAAATTCTGATAAAAAACAAAAGATCAGAGATCAAAAGACGAAATTCAAGTAGAGTCAAATAACGGGTACCTAAACAGAATTTCTTTTTCATTCTCAGATGAGATGCTGGAGTGTGAGACCGGGTCCCTTTTAGGCAGAGTAGCGGATCTCGAAAGGCAATCCTTGGCGCAGAGGGACGAGATAGTTTGTCTTCGCGCCACTTTGGCGGACGCGTTAAGGCGAATTGCTCAGCTCGAGGCAAGAGAAAAGCGAGAGGATGACAGGAATGAGAGGAGAAACGAGAGAATGGTGTCCTCGCCTTTAAGGAATGGTCATGTACCTCTCAGAAGTAAGTTGGCAAAGCTGCATATTGATCATGGAAGCTAA